GGCTTCGTTTAGGCCGCTTCAGGTGCACCCGTCCTTCTCTGCACGATGGTATTGATTTCTCCCTGTAGACGCACCAGTTCCCCGACAGTGAGTTCGCCCAATTGCCGCTGCCTTTCGTTCCTGCGCCACAGAGCGGGCGCGGCACGACTCCTCGAACTCGGCCCCCGACCTGTCGTCGGTGGCAAACGTCTCACGGAGCGTGGGCATCCTGCAGGTTGGCGGGGGTGTAAAAAGAATCCTGTCTCAGTGCGGCGGTCCTTTGCAGCACGGCACGGTATCTCGGAGGTCTCGAGCCAGGCGCTAGCACAAAACAGACTCGGCTAGCTGCGATCCCTGCGATCCCTGCACCAGCACGCAAGAGGCAGTGTTCGATCAGGCTCAAACGTCTCAAATCTCACAGTACCAAACAATCACAAGTAGCAAAATGCCGTAGGCGAGTAAGACGCCACCTGCAATCGGCGGTCCCCAGACGGCGCCGACCACGCCCAGTACCACCGTCGGGACCGCTACAACAAGCATCAACATCAGAAGCGCTTGCAGGCATTGTTTCCCGCTCAGAACCATCGCTGGCCTGCCGGGAATGCAAGCCAAAAAAAAATCTCCAGCCTCACACCCCGAAATTTACATCGATTCTATCGATTCCATCGAGTGGCACTCCGGGGCTAAAGTCGTGTTGCAGAACACCAAAAACGCCTTCCAGGCTGGGCTGTGCAGTTTCGGTCGCCTTGGAAGGCGTCGAAGAACTGGAAGAGCAGGCTCCTGAGCCTCAGAATCGACCGGTTTGGGCAGGTCGATGGAACTCTATATTTTCCCGGTCAAAATATCGATCGCGTTTTCCGGGCATTTAGGCGGTCGATATTTTGACCGGGGAAATATCGAGTTCCATCGAGTGGCTCCAGAGGACTCAGAATCGTGACAGCAGTGCCTCAAACTCACCACCCCGACAGGGGGCGCGCAACCGTGACGAGCGACAGGCTTCGACAGCCCAAAACCGAACCCGAAAAGACACACAAACCCTTCAAATCCCCACTCGATGAAATCGATGGAATCGATGGGATTTCTGAGCGCCCGGCCGGTGATTTTTTTTTTGGCTCCGGTCCCCGGCAGGTCGGTCCAGAACTTGACCTGAGGCAGCTGCAAGGAACGAGACACAAGCGGAGGCAGCACCGACACTCGCGGACATTTTCAAAGGCCTGTCCAAGCCTGCGTGGGTAAGCTTCCCAAGTGGAGGCTTCTGTAGCCGAGCGAAGGCCGTTTTGGCCGTGGAACGGCTCGGCAATAAGGAGCTTGCCGCGGGGCGTTCTCGAAAATTCCTGTAACTAGGAGAACCTCCTCCGTGTCCTCTGTACGCATGCACATGCTGTGCAACATGCCGAGCAAAGCTTCGACCAAAATTCATGCAATCTACCCCGCAGCATGCTTCAGCTTCCAGCTGCCGTAGTTGTCGGTGGGGACGTTCTTGGTGCCGGCATTGTGCATCTTGATGCCGGCGCTGGTGAGCCTGGTCCTCGCCACCTTTCGGTCGCAGTCCAGGTAGGCCTTCAGCGCATCCACGAAGGCGCTCCAGGGACAGCCTTGGTTGTACTGGGCGACCCTCTCGCAGTGCTCGAGCAAGAACTTGTCGACGGTCTTGGCGTTTTCCCGGTTCTGCTCCTCCAGAAGCACCATCTGCGGGGGCTTCGGCATGAGCTCCGTGCCCGGATTCAGCTCCTCGGAGAGAGAATTGAACAAGCCGAAGGCGAAGAAGTTCATCTCCGCATGGAAGCAGCCGTCGTTGATCTTCTTCTTCAGGGAGTCGTCGGCCTTGTGCTCCGTGATCTTTGTCGGCCTGGCCACGAAGCGGGCTTCGGTCTGCCACTCGCGAGCTCGGCGGGCCCAGCCGTCATCGTCGATCTGCTTGACCTTCGGCGGGAAGTTGCTGGTGGCGCAGAAGACTCCCATGGGGCGAAAGCTCCGGGGATTCCTGTAGAGGCCTCTCCCTGTCAGCGGAGCCCCGCCTTGTTCGCACAGAGCTTTTAAAAAGTCTGTGTCTAAATCCTCGTGCTCTGGCACCTCTGACCCCCAGATAAACCGTTTCCCGCGCATTTGGTCTAACTGGGGGGAGGCCGATTCTTTGCCACTCTTCGCCCCCGCCACGAAGTAGCGGCCGCTCACGAGGAGCCCGTAATGCTGCGGCTCGTAACCCAGGAAGCGCAGCAAGATCAGCATGAGCACGTCCTTGCCGGAGGACCCCGGCCCGTGGAGGTAGAAGAGCTCGCACAGGCGCTCCAGAGCCACGATCGCCCGGGCGAAGAGGCGGAGGATGTACAGCACCTGCAGCCACGAGCCGTACTTCCTCAAGAGCTTCAGCAGCCCGGAGTGCGGCTTGAGCTCCTCGAAGGCCTCCACCACCGCGAGCCCCTCCTCGTTCTCTTCCAGGGTCCGCCCTCGCGTCCGGAGGAAGGTCTCGACCTTGCTGAAGAGCTGCGTGGCAACGGGCGGCACCCAGGCTGCGGAGGTCGCCTCTGCGTGCAGGGACATCCGGTCGCAGGGCTGTGCCTGCCTTCGCTCCCCCGTGGCGAAATCGACCACCACCCCGTCGGAGTACAGGACTTTCCCCCGGCGTCCTGTCGGCGTCCAGCGGAGCCATGGTGTGCCCGCTGAGCAAGCCTAAGACCTCGTCCACCAAGCTCTTGGTCCAGCAGCTGTCGTTGAGCGGCTCCGGCGGAGTGAAGGGGCCGGCGTAGGCGGGCCGCGAGAGGTTCTTCAAGCTCATGCGGATGAGCGCCCCCATGTCGTCCTTGTGCTTGGGCACCCAGAAGCCTCTGCCATCGAAGAACTCAAAGGTGGTGCGCTTCTCCCCGTCCTCGTGCGGCACGTTGACCACGGGAGCCAGGAGGGATGCCACGAAGTCCGCGAAGTCGGAGCCGTTGGGGCGCACGCGGCGCAGGGAGATGTGGACCAGGCAGGCGTCCCGCACCTCCGCAAACTCCCGGTAGGGCCGCTTCGCCTGGAGGCTCCAGTTGAACTCCGGGTGCTCCTCAGCCGCGTACTGAAGGGGATCCGGGGTCTCCTTGACGTCCACCTCCAGGCCCAGCTCCGCGGCCGCGACGACCACCGCATCGGCGCTCTCCCGCGCCACCGCAACTCCGTCGTGCTCCAGAGCCGCCAGGTCCTCCCCGGCAGCCCGCTTGAAGGCCTCCAGCGCCCGCCGCTCCAGGGAGGCGTACTTGGAGTAGCCCATGGACGCCAAGCCGCGATTTCTGGCGCGCTTCTGAATTCAGCGCATCCCGGCACTTGATGAGCACGCCACCCACAGCCTTCTCGATGGAGGCCAGAAGGTCCAGCAGGGGGTCGTACTCCGCACTCCTGGGAACGAAGCCCAGGTGCTTCGAGCACCAATTGCTCGCCGACATGCCGAAGCCCATGGCGATAAGCAGCCCCTTGGCATCCTGGCGGGTCAGAGGCTTGCTGGGCCGGGACGGCTCGTCCTCCTCGGACCACGGCCTCCGGTCCTCAGCTTTGGCAGCCCGCCGACGCGCCTCCTTCGCGGCCTTGTTCTCGTAGTCGGCCTTGACAGAGTTGAGGCCCGACACAAGCAACTGGAGGGTCGCCTCCCTGTGGGTCACGTAATCCCTCAGAGCCTCCGGGAGCTCAAACTCCTTGGAGAGCAGCTGGTAGAAACTGTTGACCAAATCCACCTCGACCACATCAAGGGCGTGCCTGCAGAAGTACTTGACGAGCCTGGGGTACGAGAAGGCGCTCGGGCCCACCAAAGCGTCCGGCAGCTCCAGCACAAGGATCTCCCGCTGGATCGCCTTCGGCAGCTGGGCGATGAGCGCGGCCCGCGCGGCCTTGAACTCCTCGCGTTTCTCCTCGTCGGCTTTGCGCTTACCGCCCACCTCCTCGGGTCGCGGCAGACACCCGATGCCGCAGAAGACGCGGCCCGGCATTCCCGGCGGATGCCGGCTCTCACGCTGCCACACCGGCAGCAGGCCGACCCCGTTGCGGATCTTCACCAGGCGGCGGCGCAGGCTCAGGAGGCTGTCGAAGAGGTTGAACTCCGTAAAGCGCCGAACTGCGTCGGAGTTCAAGGCCCTGTCGAGCTCCGCAGCATTCACCGGCTCGTAGTGCAACCATCCCGTCATCTTGCCGTCCTCACAGCCGGGCTCCGGGTCGCCCTCATCCCCCATGTCGTCGTCCCCGTCGTCCTCAGGGTCCGGGCCTGGTGGGGCCGAAGCTGCAGCCGGCTCTGGAGCTCGCGGGGCACCGGGATCCGCAGCCTGGCGGGACTTGATGTACATCACCCTCTTAATGGCTCCGATGTCCGGCCTGCCCATCAGGAGGCGGGGCGCTCGGATCGGCGGGGCCAGAAGCCTGACAGGACTTGATGGACGTCACGCCATTGCTGGGCCCGATGTCCGGCCTGATCAGCTTCCTCATGATGAGGCGGTGGGGCCGAAGTCGATGCAGCAGGGGCCTGACAGGAAGCCAGCTGTCTATCAACTTAAAGTCCCAAAACAAACCAGGCCTCGAAACCCGCGGGCTCGTTCGTTGAAGAAGCAGTCGAAGCCTGCCCGAGAGAAGTGCGTCCGGAACCGCATTAACGACGACCGCCAAGCCTCGACTGGAGGACCAGCACCGCGGCGGTCGTGAAGAGAATCGACCTGTCCGAGACTCACAATACTATGGCGCACGTTTTTTTTTGACCTTTCAGCGAGCCTGAGCAGGAGGAGTGGTGCGCTCCGCTCGCCGCACGGCTTCAATGAGCCGAGTCTCGGCCAGTGTGAGAGGCGCACCTCGAAAGTCATCGCGCTCGCCCTGGACGGCTTCCGACAGGCTCGATAGCTCGATGGCGGCGCTGGCGGCTTTTGCGCAATTCGGCAGCTTGTCCGGATGACAAAGCTTCATCATCTTCCGGTACGCCTGGGTCGGGGACGAGCCTGGCCAAACATGCAAGCCGAGGCGAGCTTCCTCCGAGGCCAGGGGATCCAGCACCAGCTCCACAGCCAGCAACCCGGCTTCCACGACCGGCGAGCTCGCGCGAGGCGGCGGAGCGGCTGCCAGCAACTCCCTGACGCGCTGCACGGCGTCAAAGACACGCTGCTCCTTCGGACGGCGAGGCTGACTGCGGAAGAAGTCCAGAGAGCCGGCGCCCAAAGTAGCTCCGGCCATCTCCAGGAAGTGTGTGGCCTGACTCGACTCCGAGCAGAGCCGCTTCATCTGCCTCCAGCATCCTCTGCGACCGCGGTCCTCGAAGATGCGAAACCCAGAGATTGAGGACCCACCGTACGAAAAGTCGAGCACCAGTGACACGGCCGCGCAACGCGCTTCGGCAAGAGCCGCCTCCATGTCGCCCCAAACACACAACCCGAAAGCTAAAGCTTGTGCACAAACGGTGCTGCAAGGGTTCGGCAGTACAACGGCAGGCTCACACAAGAAGCAAAGTGGCCCAGGGCCCAGGCGACGGGAAGTCGCGGAAGAAGCCGCCGCCGATGCGAAGAGAACCTGCAAGCGGGGGGCCGGGGCTCCCGGGAAGGGCTCGGGAGCACGGGGCACTCTAGTCTTACAGGTGGGAGGGGAGGCAGCACACTCGCCCGACAAACCCTTCCAACACCAAACTTCCCAGCAAGCACTCTGAGCGGCAAGCTCCGCGGATGAAGGCGAAGACCTGGGCGGAGCGGGAGTCAAAACCTTAAGAGCCAGGGGTGCAAAAAGGAAAAGCATCTTTTACGCAATCAGCTCCGCAGCCTGTACTCTCGCCACGGAAGGTTTCTTAGCGCAAAAAGCCCCAGCGCCGCAACCTGTACTCGGCGCACGGGGCTGCAGCATCATCCCCGAGTCGGCTGACCGGCTGGCGTGGGGATGCCCACAGTGTGGTTCCGGGGTCGGTGATTCCCCGTATGACGATCCCGCGTCAGCGCATCGAACCACTCCACATCATCCTCCAGAGGCAATCTGATGCTGGCCGCCTGCTCCCCGTAGAGAGAGTTCCACATGACCGTGAGGGTGCCACCCGCGAGCCTGTAGAACAGTCGGGTCTCGGCATCGAAGACGTAGTTCCTTCGCGAGCCGTCCTCGCCCTGGAAGGCCCATTTCTTTTTGCCGAGCTGCTTCGGCTTCAGGGTTTTGATCTCGTCAAGGTAGAGCTCGATGTCCCAGCGATTGCACGTCTCTATCTCCAGCCGGTCGTACTTGAACTTCCGCCGGAGGATGCCGTAGAGCTCCGGCGCCGCGCTAGACAGCACCTCCTGGGCTATCGCGGAGCTAAGAGCGGCGAAGGCAGCGCTTGACATGGTCTTCAACCCCCCTAGACTCACCGGAATTACTGCTAAGCCACAATCTCAAGGCACTCACATGCAGCTGTAACAACACGAGTCTCACAGCACTCCTGCAGCTTCAGAAGCACCAAGGCTGGAACCGTCGCAGGCGACCTGGGGCGCCCCGGCAACCCTTCCCTACGAACTTGAACCACGAGCGCGGGGCAGAAAGTAAGTAACCAAGCAGCATGCGATGCGGCGTGTGGATTCATGCAGCAAACGTGGCGAAAGCACTCTAGAAAAAAAATGTTACGGCAAAAAGTCAGCATGCCTAGCAAAAGCGAGCATCAGTGAGCATCCTAAACCCCCCACCACCCTCTGTGAGCCCCTTCGACCCGGTCCCGGGGCGGGCACAGGGTCGGACGCCAATCCACACTGCACGCCCCGACCACAGAAATCGTGAG